AGCCTATACATTATAATTCGCGTTGTTATAATTAGGAGGGTTTTTCAAGTTTCATGCATGCTAGGCCTATAATGATGGATTCGATTTTGAGATTATAGACCTATGATTGATTGATTGATTATTTGATTCACTAATTAATTTCTCAATAATTGATTGATTTTCTAATTAGTTGATTTAGTGATTGATGGAATGATTCATCGATCCATTGACCATCATTAATTCATTTTTTATTGGAGTTGTATTCATGTTTTTGAAATATACATTATCTGTTTTTCTAGACAATATAGTCTTTTTCAAAATGTTAGTAGGGTACCGTAAGTTACATCAGGAAATACAGTAAAATGGTATAGTTTAGACATGTGTCTATGTCTGTTTGTTTTTTTTTCATGTATTGTATGTATAAATGTAATATTGTCACATATTATTTTAATACAGGTCTCCCTCCAGTTAAAGACACCTCCAATTGAAGCGCTTTGCAACCGCAAAGAAAAGGAACTATAGGCCTATTAATAAAAATTATTATTATTGAAGACACTCCAATTAAAAAGACCACCCAATAAAGACTACATTTCCGTGGCCCCGGTTGAATGCCTACCGTATCTTTTATCATTAGCTTTTCCCTCCAATTAAAGATCCCCTCTTTGGAGATCAAAACCATGGGTTTGGCTGACCCAACTGAAAATTTTCCCTCCAAAAAAAGACCACTATAAAATAAATAGTGATGTTATGCATATTTTTCTATAATAAATTGTGTTATATATGACTTACACATAAAAAAAATACTAGGCAATGCACTGTTTTTTGTACAGTGTTTTGTTGCATATTGAATAACGATAATGATAATGTTAGTGACAATGTTAATTACGTTTTATTGGAAAAACATGTTGAATATAACAGCATGTAGTAAATCGACAGGAAAGACTCCAGCGCACCCCCTCGAGCAAATCAAGAATCACCCGAAATAAACCATCTCCCCGCAAATTCATGATGATATTTGCATGTTTTTACACGTTTTTACTACTGTATTATCAATTGTCTCTCAGCAGTTAGTGCAAAACTTAATGGTTATCACACACATACATACACAGATTTAGATTTTTTTAAGAAAACTCATTTAAACAAGTCTCCCGGATGTGGATTCTTCCATCGTGGGACCCTGGTTGAGTGCCAGTTTTTAATAAAAGAGATTCTATTAGACACCAAAGACCATATGGTTTTGTCAGACCAAACTGAAAATTTTCTACTACTTTTAAAATATTATGTGGTTTCAATGTAGTTGTGTTTTACAGACATCAAAATAATCTATGCTTCAAAGCAGTTGTTTTGTGTATACAGTGCTTCATATTGAATACCAATAGTGTTAGTATCATGACGCTAACGGACTTTACGTGTGGCTCCGAGAAATTGTTTATAATGAATCAGTAGCAGCATGAGTAATCTTCTAAAACACATTGAAAAAAAACATTCAAGCATTAATGTAAAATATCATGGTTTTGGCAGACCCAACTAAAAATGGTCCCTTCAATTAAAGGCCTACATTAAAAATTGAATATAATGAATTTAATGCAGTTATTAGATATGATTGATTATGATGATAGATATACATTAACAATACACAACATAAAATAATTTTAGGCCTATTAGTAGAACGGTGTTGTTAGTAATGTTGTAATGATAATTTGGGTAGAACGAGTGCAGTAGTATAAGAATCAAACTTTAACCTACATTCATTCAAAAAATAGGCCTACTTGGAATACCAGGGGGCGGATTTGGGATGTAAAAAAAGAAAAAAAGAAGAAAAAAAGAAATTTTAAAAAAATATAGCCCAGAACTCCTCAAATGTTATTTTCGGGCGTCTAGAACACAAAGATTTCGCTGGGGCATGCCCCCGGAGACCCTTGGAGAGTGTTGTCTCGATCGGCCCAACATTCGCTCTCCCCCCCCACCCCCTGGACATCTCTGGATCAGCCCCTTAATACAACGATCTTACAATTACTATACCATTTCTTAATTTTCCCTTACACAGAGATTGAAAGACCACTTTTAGTGCCGGTTCTTTAAGTTGAGGGCTTCTAATTGAGACCAAATCTGATGAAGACCACTAAAACCCTCCTGGTCCCGAATGGTTCTGAAAGGATCAGATCAATTTCATTTCGGGTTCGTCCCTGGGCTCCTCCATGTCCTTTTTCGATGGTCCTTTTTTCTAAAGAATGTGTTCATGATTTTGAAGTTGTGGTTTATTGCAAATCTACTTGGTCTCCCCTTTCATTTATTTCACCATATGCAAATTGGCCGACTGCTCCTCGATCAGTCTGTATCTTCAATTTTACCTACTTTTGCATTGAAGTCTCCGATTATGGTTGAGTGTGTAGCCTAATGTTCCTTCTTGCGATTTAAAATTTCTGTTATGTTTGTACTGCTCCGTTTCTTCGTCGCTTTATATGTTGATGTTGGTGCATAAGTCAGAACAATTTTCATGTTGTATCTTTTGTTGATCTTGATATTAAGAACAGCAAATCTGTGGTTAATTCCTTTTTATTTCTAGAATATTTCCTGGCAAACTTTTATTGATTATAAATCCTACTCCAAAAGTTGACTAGTGTTTAACTATGTGGTAGAAAACATGTCCGCTATTTAGTTGCATTAGTCCTTCGCCATGTCTCCTGACTTCACAATACATAACACAAGAAAAATATTTATAGGCCTTTTGGGCATTGTATGAGATAATATCTCGTACGTACAACTTAATTACCGATCGTACATACGAGATAATGGCTCAAAATATTTTTCTTTGGCAGCAATACTTCTTACGTGAATGATGGCAATAATAATACAGTATTGATAAAAATATTATTAATATTATTTAATAACAATATTGTAATAATTGATTTTTGGAACATCGTAATGGTATTTTGGTCCCCCTTCTTCGTTGAAAACAAATTAATAGTTAGCCCCCCCAAAACCGACACAAAGCACAAAGTGACACCTTTAGGAAAATGCAAACTTTGGGCTTATTCGACTGGTTCATTTCGTTGAGCACGAGTTTTTTTTTTTCATAAATAAGGCCTCTGACTGACTATTATTTCATTAATGATAATGAGTAATGGTAATAACAAATTATTAAACTATCTTAGCCAAAACGAGGATAAGTGGAGCACCTTATTTAAAAATAAAGTACCAAGGAATGAAAATCAAAATCGTGTACATTACACCAATTATACACCGCAACGCTCGAGTTTCAAACATACGGGTAACTAACTGTGCTGAATTTTTGTGTAAATGATGGCGCTTAGGCGAAATTGGAGTAATAATTGGCTAAACGTATGGCAGCCATATTGGATGGTACACACACAGCTCTGTGTATTTCGAACATCGAATACATTGCAGTTAGCGCTTTAGTATTCTTATTATATCTCTATGCTTTAATAATCAGCGTTAAGTTAAAAAAATGGCCGATTGGTGACTTTATAAACAACATTTGCGTAGTATAACTTAGATTAAATTTCATAAAATAAAAATTTATATATTTACCCACATGGAGTCAAAAAATTGTAGGCTAACAACAGAATTAAAAAACTGGATGAAAATAATTTTTTTACGAAAAACCCATACTACCACAAGTTGAAGCAATCTTGATTACGCAACGTTTTCATTTCATTTCATTTATTCATTTATTTCCACACATCATCAAAGAAAACGTATACTGTACATAGTTCATTGAAACAAGTATTGTGTGGGGGAGAGTCGGATAAACCAAATAACGTGTATCGCGGTAACTATACAGCCATTTTGTTTTGTCGAGTATTACAAGTTTTCTATTCAACTGGTGGTCGTCATCGTTGAGAGTTTTATTACCGCTGCGCAGGTGGGCGTGGTTTAACGAAGAACGACCATCGAATACGTCTAATTCGTTCTGGAGGCTAATCTACACATAAACTTATGACGTAACAACACGTTTCCACATAATTTTGTGTGGTGTGAGAGAGAGCGAGATCAAGGTTGATCAATTTTGTCTGTGTGGTAATTTTCAATGATCTTAGCTTATTAATGTATTAACTCTCTCATGTTGTGAAACAACTGTCTTAGTTTGTGTTGATTATGTAAGTACAATTATTGATGTATACTTGTAATTCGTTCATGTTTTTTTTTCTGTGAACATTCATGTAAAACAAGCAGTGTCGAAACTAGCCTAGAGAGAGGACTAGCCTAGGCCTACTGTAGGTAGGGGGTAGGTGCCTAGGCCCTAGGAAGGCACCACTACTGACAGCTAGCCTAGTAAGTAGGGCCTACCTGTAAGCCTTGTAAGTAGGGCCTAGTAGACCTAGGACTTACTGCTGTCTTTACTACTAAGCCTAGGTACACTGACACTGTATACTCTACTAATATTGTAGGTAGGCCTACTGTAGCTAGTGAGGGCTAAGGTCTAGGCCTACTGTAGGCTACTAACTAGGGGCCTAGCCTATTTGAGTAGCCTATATAGAATTAAGAAACGAAAATCATATGTATGAAATACTTTAATAGTGGAGGAAACCAATTTTCAACCTATTCTTAAATAAATGATATATATATATGTATACGTATTTAAATATATATGGCCTATATATAAATTATGATATAATAGATAAAATCCAAATTAGCTTTATATAATATATAATAATAATAAGAAACGAATACCATACTTTATACGCCTTTTTCACGAATCGGTAGACATCTTGAAGTGATGACAAACATTGCGAATCAGCGGTGCGTAACCAACAGAAATAAGATAAGCTTTTGGGCTGATTTTCTGACATCATGTTATTTAAAAAATCATAACTCCATAACGGGGCGTCGTATCCAAAAAGTGTTTCCAGGAAAATATTCTTAAAAGACCAGTCTACACCATTATATGATTGAAAAAAAATGTAAAAATTTTTTTGACCTCTGAAATTAAGATTGAAAAAGAAAAGCCTATCTTAGTAGTGTATTAAAATAGGCCAATGCATTACAGTGCAGTAGCATAGGACTTTCGAGTTGTTACTGTTCCAAGTAGCGATAATATACATATTTCTCTTATTACAAAGTACAAGTTATGTTTTATAAAGAGGTATAGTATAGTAAATCATGTTTTTAACACAGGAAACTCTCATATGGTAACTAAAACAATGCTAGTTCAGAGTATTACTAGTACTACAGCACTGTAATGCATATACCTATTTATACACTACTGAGATACTGTAGGCTTTTATTTTTCAATCTTGATTTCAGAGGTCAACAAAATTTTTCAATTTTTTTTCAATCATATAGTGGTGTAGACTAGTCTTTTAAGAACATTTTGCTGGAAATTTTTTTTGGATACGGCGCCCCGTTATAGAGTTATTATTTTTTAAATAACATGATGTCAAAAAATCAGCCCAAAAGCTTATCTTATTTCTGTTGGTTACGCACCGCTGATTCGCAATGTTTGTCATCACTTCAAGATGTCTACCGATTCGTGAAAAAGGCCTATTAAA